CTTTTCTGGAAAAGCTAAACAGTTCAGGGAATGGTATCAGGGAGGCAGAGCATCCTGAACATAACGTGTTGCAAAATGCATTGTGGGTAGTGGTCCTTAAACTGAATTTATTGACAATAACGCGATGAAAAAAACACCGGATGTAATCCTAAAGGCCTTTCACTTGCACTTTATTGTTCTTTTCAACATTGACATATTGTCTGTTTGCTCCAGTCTCTGCAGCCCTGATACAGCGTGTTGCTGCTGCAGCGTACTACCTGAGCAGATCACCTGGAAACCCTCAGTGCCGGCCAACACTGGCCTGAGAGCATACCCCTAGATTCCACCGGGTCCGTCTGCGTCACGTTACCCCTCGATTCCACCGGGTCCGTCTGCGTCACGTTACCCCTCGATTCCACCGGGTCCGTCTGCGTCACGTTACCCCTCGATTCCACCGGGTCCGTCCGCGTAGCGTTACGGCTGCGCCGCAGTTTTGGTCCGGCCTCCTCCGGCGTCATACCCTATTGGGCGCGTTTCAGAAGCATTTCAGAAGCGGAGCGTCTTGCCTGCCGGCGCAGTTTTTGTTGATTTGGGCATATTTCCTGCACAGGCTACTTTGTACAGACAAAGTTAATAATAATTGTAATATCCCAGCTATAAACGAAATGAATCAAAGATGTGTTGCTGTATTTTAGTGGTAAAAAAATGCATTCATCATCATAATTATTCCGCCGGCATTTCTCCTCCTACTTGAAAGACTACGGAGGGATAGGGTCTGCAAATTAGTTTGTGTGTGTGTATGTAGGCTAGGTATATATATATAGCCTATATATATATACGGCTGCCTCGCCTCAAAAATAGGATTCATCCTAATTTTAGAGGAGCCCTGCGCTGAGACCCTTCTGGGACGCTTCTGAGCCGTGTGGTGGAATAGCACCCATTGACTAGAGTGGCCGCGATCGGCGCAGCCGTAACACGACGGTATGCGACGCAGCCGTAAGGTAATGTCGGCCAGGCAGGAAGTGGAATGTTCAGAGCATATATATATATATATATATATATATATATATATATATATACACACACACAAACTAAATTTGCAGACCCTATCCCTCCGTAGTCTTTCAAGTAGGAGGAGAAATGCCAGCGTTCTCCTCCGGTTTACAGGCACTGTGTAAATTATATATATATAGAATAATTATGATGATGAACACATCTTTGATTCATGTCATTTATAACTGGAATACTATTATTATCATTAACGTTGTCTGTACAAAGTAGCCTGTCCAGGAAATATGCCCAAATCAACAAAAACTGCGAGCCGGCAGGCAAGACGCTCCGCTTCTGAAATGCTTCTGAAATGCTTCTGAAACACGCCCGGTGGTTTATGACGCTAGAGGAGGTCGGATCAAAACCGCGGCCCAGCCGTAACACGGCTCAGACGGACCCGGTGGAAACTAGGGGTTACGGCTGCGCCGCGGCGTCCGCCATGATCGCAGCCACTCTAGTCAATGGGTGCTATTCCACCAGACGCATTACGGCTCAGAAGCGTCCCAGAAGCGTCTCGCCGCTGGGCTCCGCTCGAAATAGGATTGAAGTCTATTTTTCCACGCGAGGCGTTGCAGAGGCGGCGGGCAGGAAGTGGACCGGTGACAGCATCCGGCCCATCCCCCAAATAAACTAATTTGCAGACCCTATCCCTCAGTAGTTTTTCAAGTAGGAGGAGAAATGCCAGCATTCTCCTCCGGTTTACAGGCACTGTGTAAATTATATAGAATAATTATGATGATAAATGCATTTTTTTACCATTAAAATACAGCAACACATCTTTGATCATGTCGTTTGTAACTGGGATATTACAATTATTATTAACGTTGTCTGTACAAAGTAGCCTGTGCAGGAAATATGCCCAAATCAACAAAAACTGCGAGCCGGCAGGCAAGACGCTCCGCTTCTGAAACGCGCACGGTAGGGTATGACGCCGGAGGAGGCCAGACCAAAACCGCGGCGCAGCCGTTACGCGACGCAGACGGACCCAGTGGGCTTTTACACCAGGAACCAACTCACATAGCAATTAAAGGTGGGGTAGGTAATTTTGGAGAAACCAGCTCGAGTGCTCTAGAATTTGAAAATACATACACGGAAAAAATGTGCCACTTCCTCACAGAGCCCCTCCTCCAACACACACGAACGCGCACATGACCAATGAGGGCACGAGATAAGTTTGTGCACAGATGGAAGGCTGACAGGCAGGTAGGCCATCCAGTTATTTTAGCCGGGCCGGCTCAGATGATTGGTTGTGCTTTTTACAGTACTACGGCTTCCACAGATGACATTTTTATATGGATTTTTTGTCAAAGCACTTCAGCTATCGGGATGTTAAGAGCATTCCATGGAATATAACAAAAAGTGTATCTCGAGCCGGTTTCTCAAACTTACCTACCCCACATTTAATCCCAATTATTAGCTTAGTTGTTAAAATATGTAACGTTCAACGGCCCAGATGTAGGTTAATTTGTATGATAGTTTGTTCACTAAACGCCATCAGTAACTACAACAGCCCCTTTTATCAGGCACCAAGGATTTTGAACTAGAGAATAAAGCAGGATAATATTCCGCGCTGTGAAAACCGTCACACTTTTTTCAGCTCAGCTGCCAGTGGAGCCCTCGGCATAGATGGAAAGAAGCTCTTTATCTAGAGGGTTCAAGAACAGTTTGCTCTCTTACTGTGGAACATAATCACCACATTTGTAAACGTAAAGCAGGGCTTTGAATGTAACCATTCATCTTCAGTTAGCATGTTGTCGTTCAGACATCAAGGCTCTCCAAGGCCTGTGCTCAACACGGCAACCTACCTTCTGTTAGAGAACCCAAAAGGCTCTGCCACAAAGTGCCAAGTAGTTCTGGGTCCTGATGACAGGGCAACAAAGAGCAGGCTTGCAGTTGGCATTAAAAGTTTCGAGGCATAGCAACAGTTGTTACTTCCGTTTGCCTTGACTGTGTTAACAGACTGCGTGCCACAGTCATAGCAGCAGAGAAGGCGTAATAAACAAACAAAAAATCCCATTTCCTCCTTTGAAAATTAAATCCCTTAATTTTGATTGTGTGTCTTGAGAATATGTATTGCTAACCAGACATCAAACGGGTTCACAGAACATATGTCATTTCCGATGTTGAAATAATCACGTTACAGTGCAGCGTTCAGCTCTGTGGAGACTGACACTGAGGACGAGTGTGTGTGTGTGTGTGTGTGTGTGTGTGTGTGTGTGTGTGTGTGTGTGTGTGTGTGTGTGTGTGTGTGTGTGTGTGTGTGTGTGTGTGTGTGTGTGTGTGTGTGTGTGTGTGTGTGTGTGTGTGTGTGTGTGTGTATTAGTCTTTTGAGACTGTAAGTAAGCAAGCGTACGAGTTTCATATGAATGTTGACTTCATTCAGGTCATTTAATAAAGTGGAAGGTTTGCTTCCTGCTGGCCGCAGCAGTCAGCTGACAGTGTGCTCCAGATTCTGCACAGCTCTTCCCTGTATTTCATACATTTCTCAGTCTGACTTGTCTAACAACATTAATTGTACGAAAACAAAACACAACGTATCATCAACCTAATTAGCATTTTCTGAACTCAGCGTTTCTATGGTTTCTCCAAAGACAGCTACTGAACACAATAAACAAGGACACACACACCTTATCTCTGAAACCTTTACAGCAGGTAATGCACGTTCAGCATAATTGCTGCTTATGGTGTTATCCAACAAATACGATGAGAGGAATTTCTACCTTTCAAATGACTAAATTAACATTAAAGGAAACCTATATCTACCAGTACAAACTCAGGAGAGTCTGTGTATCAATGTTCTTTTTCTTGTATTTCATGTTTCTCATAATTTATACGGGATTTGCACTACACTGAAACGTTGACTTTAATTACATGTATTACAGTAGGTTAGTTGAAAGCAATAATATCAAGTTTAAATAATAATATTAGGTCTATCTTGATATTATTGCTTTCAAATAACCTAATACAGTTATGGGAAATCTATTGACATCCATTTGATTAAAGTCAAGGTTTCAGTTTTTCCAGTGTGCAATGTCTCTGTTGGTCTGCATTGTTTACAAAGCTGATATCAGTAGGAATGGGCTCTTACATGTACAGATCTATCAATTGGAATCCCATAAAGCAATTTACCATTGGAAGATGATGTAAAATAGATAACACGCTGTAAACTATAGGCAATATTCTTCACACGTTGCGGCACTGAGTGTGTGATGTTTTTTGGGAATGTGGACACGGAACACATCAGTCTTTTCTCCTGCTCAGCCATTGTGTGTAGCTGAGAGGCCAAGACGCTGCGTCCTTGTTCTATTTAGGCTGGCTCTGCGCGCAGCCTGAAAAGCCCGGGTTCCCTTTAGTCGCTCCCTTTTTAGCCTCTTTTTTACCTTTCTCAAACAATGGATTCTGCCTCTCTTCAAGCAGCAGCCCCCAAACACTCAGTGAATAAAGTTAGTCCAACATGCGCCCTTAAACCCACCCCGAGACTGCTGCTGGGCAGCCACACTCGCAGAATTGTTTGTTAATAGTCCAATTAGATAATTGCCATCTTTCACTCCTTTTCCTCTCTGTTTCCCATAAAGGCATGAATGGCACTCGGGGAGGGGGGCAGATTGAAGAGGGCTTCTGGCCAGCTAAGGTGACAAGAAGGGCTAGAGAATGCTCCTTGCACTGGGCCACCGGTTTGAATTGAATCATTGTGGCCTAATCAATGGTCTTATTGGATTACTGGCCACTGCTGTGTTCAGAGATATTGTTGCACTGACAATAAAAATAGCTAAGAGTTGGTGGTTGGTTGGGTGGGTGGGTAGTGGGCTGGAAGCGAGTGGTGGAGAGAGGTAGGGGCCATTCCAGAGGTATGCGTGTGAGAGAGAGAGTGTAGGCAGCCTAAACACTAATGACAAGCTTTGTTCCCCTTTTTGTCTTTTCCAAATGTGCAGGTTAAGACTATGAGAGCTGAGGATGGCCTCCGGGGTGCAATCATTTGAATACTGAAGGATGTGGCGTTAGCGGCCAGGACCTCCATAGGTAGGCGCATAGTATTTGAATGAACACGTAAACTTTAACACAATCAGTGTTTTAACTGGCAGGGTCGTGGACGCCTTGATACTTTCTGATCGGCGAGGATTTGTTGGTTATCCTTTTCCGCTGTCTTTCTCTCTCTCCCAATCTCTGGCTCGCTCCCAGTGTCTCCTGCCTTCAAGAGCATAGTGGTGAGATCCACACATTGCAGAATTCCATTGATTAGTGAGAGAGTCAAAGGGAAAAACAGGATTAAAGTTTCCTGACATGCTGTGGCAATCAGGTGCGCTGTGAAAAGTCGGGGGGAAAATGTCTTGCTATGTTCAGTGGAAGGAAGGACGAAGCGCCCGGGAACTTTCTTTAGGTACGGAAGAGTCGTACCTCTGTGATTGTGTGCCTTCGTGTTGGGTTCACTGAGGCTTGGTTGCGAGGCAAGACCAATCATTTGTCTTTATTCTCTGGGCTGAGAGCAGGCAAACTGTAGGGGGACGGGACAAGCAAACTCCTCTATCAAGACCTGATCTATTTCCACAAATAATTCCGTGTATTCATGAGGTTATGCAAATTTTGATCCAGCAAAATTACCGTAATCAATTGAAACAGCGAGTGCGCATCCATGGCTCTGATTATTTGGCGATCATCTATCAGCCTGATGTCTATGTAACGAGGAAAGGGGCTCATTGAATAACTGTTGAGTTCCACTGAGAAGTCCATGATCATTGGGCAAGGGACTTTGCTCAGTGATAATAGGGCTCCTTGGTCGACAGACGGAAGTATTTCACCAGACATTAGATAGCTGTCTCTGCCCTGCTGAAAGGTGCTGTTTTGAAACTAAACCCCACACTGTCCAGACAATCTGGTGCACCGTGTTCTCCGTAATCTCCTATTTTTCACCTGACAAAAGGGAAAAAAGAGCCACAGGTCCAAGAGGATAAACTGAGCATGGAGGTCAGGTACAACCAAGAGACAGAAGGGAAGGGGCTGAAGAATGGACTACAGAAGGGGAAAGACGACAAGGACTCCCAAGGAAGCCTGTCCAAAAGCTTCCTGAAGGAGCAGCAGGACTCCTTTTCTCCCTCTGGGACTGTGGACAACTGCGAGAAGAGCAGGGGGAGCACGGGGGACCCGGACTACTGCCGGAGGATACTGGTCCGAGGTAAGGCTGGGGCTTTTCCTTTTTTTCTCCTTCAGAGATCATAAAGATTCCTCTGAAACATTGTTTAAACTTCTCTTACAAAAGATGCCTTTAAGAACCAGGAAATAAGAGTGTAGCTTCAGGGACTACATGATGAGGAGGAAGCATTTGTAGTTTCATTGTGGGAAAGTTGAGACTAAGGAGGACTTCACTTAATTTAAAGTTGATAGCAAAATAACCCCTTTCACATAAGCAGTTTACAATGGAGACTTTTTTACAATGGAGATTTTTTGTATTACAATTATATAAACATACTGTAAGAAAACACAATGATTTGTTATGAAAAAGAGCTTTTACATTTTTATCTAAGATATTTATCTTAAATGATAGGCCAAATAAACATCATGACCAAAAATTCTGCGCCTTCATTTTGGTCACGAGACTTTTTTTTTTGCACCATGACGGTCTCATTTTTTCTTTAGATTTCATACTTTGATAATACGTTTTAAAATCATGTTTATTGATAATTATTAGGATTTTATTATTATTATGATAAATGAACAATTCACATTTATTTCCCTGGGTACATTTAAATGTGTGAAAGGTCAGGCTTATAACAGAAACATTCCCACAGGGTTGATGTTGTATGTGCTGCATTACACTTTGTAGCTGATAAATAATAAGACTCAAAATTCACCAAACAAAAGAAGCAGGCGAGTTTGTCTTTACAGATATTTGAGGTTATAAATACTGTGCAGCATTTTCCCCCACAGAGCGATTTATGTAATTTCTCATGCAGGATCAACATCAACTATAAATATAATTTATAAAACACCAAAAACTGTGGATTCGCATGACAAAATCAAATTAAACATAGCAGCTCACTACTTAAAATATAGAGAAAGAGGTTTTTTGAAAATAAAATAATTATGAATTGATTGATTTCCGCCACATTTATTCAGCACATATTTAAAATTATAGTCAATTTAATAATATATTTGAAAGGAAATAACACATACTTTTTGCTTTCATCTTAAAGCCTCTTTTGTTGTAATTTCTCTCATGTTGTAACATGAGTATTTTACATCAGTGAACCGACGTGAAACACATTTATGTCATTCTGATTCAATGACTGTAATATGTACTTCTTATGTCTTCAAATTGGTAAACACTTTAATATATATAAATGTATATTAAGAAAGTCATCTTAATTAAATTGATGTCAGATGTTGGAGTTTCCCCATAAGATTTAATTTAGATTTTCCATAATAATTACAAACATAGGATGATGTTAACTCATAGATGTAAAGGATCATTCATCAATATGAATGATATATTCTCTATAAGTACGTCATGTTACATTAACTCCAAATGCACTTTATTTTACAATAAAATCTGAATTTGAGTCATATACATTCTCCAGACCTCCACTATGCTCCTACTATTACTTCAATATCTACTACTACTACAGCTTACAACAACAACAACAACAACAACAACAACAACAACAATAGTAATAATAATAACAATAATAACTATAATAACGTTAAAGCACATGACCAGTGTGCACCCTGAATGAAAGGCATGTCTCTGTTGTAATTGTCCCCTCTCTTTATTGCAGATGCTAAAGGCTCTATCCGAGAGATCATCCTTCCGAAGGGTCTGGATCTGGACCGGCCCAAGCGGACCCGCACCTCCTTCACAGCGGAGCAGCTGTACCGGCTGGAGATGGAGTTCCAGAGGTGTCAGTACGTGGTCGGGAGGGAGCGCACAGAGCTGGCCCGGCAGCTCAACCTGTCTGAAACTCAGGTATGAAAGCTGTTCACACTGGATGAAAAACATTGGAATGATTCAACTTGAATCTCAAATGCATGAGCCAGAACAGGTGCCTTTCTTTTCATTAATATAGTAATAATGCAAAGTGTAAATATATATATTTTTATGTTTTTTTAACAAATTACAATCATCTATTTTCAATTCAGATAATCCTATTACGATCACTTATTTGTCACAGAGAAAGGTGAATTTACACAAACAATTATTTTCACTTCACGTGTAATCAGTGACGTACATAATGAAAACCATTTTAGAAGATTGTTTGTATTATATCGTATTTTAAAGGTGCCATCATTTACCGTCCATATACCAAGCGGTATTCTCACACACATAATTACAGTTTGAGCAGAGATGGAAAAGGCCTGTTCTACCGGCACTACAGAAACAATAATGGCACCAATAATCAATACAGATCTGAAGTGTTGTTGTTGAGTGTTAGTATTCGAAGACTCACATGTCTATTCATTAAGTAGTGTTTGCTGTCTCCTATTCAGTGTTTTGAATACGCGATGCTGGATGCATTTAAAGATTTCACGCAGAATTATTTCTTATTGTTTGTACACTGAAACTGAAACATTGACTTTAATTAAATGTATTATGTTAACAGATTTCACATAACTGTATTAGGTTAGTTGAAAGCAATTAAATTGAGTTTAAATAAAAAAGTATTAGGTTTACCTTAATATTATTGCTTCCAACTCACCTCATAGTTATGTGAAATCTTTTGACATAATACATTTATTTAAAGTCAACGCTTCAGTTTTTTCAGTGTATACATTTAAAGTAAATATATTGGCGTTTTAAATAACGCTAGTGCGTGTCAGTATAGATTATGGAGTGTTTGACATAGTAACCTAAATCTGCTAAAATAACAGATAAAAGGCCGTAGAAGGCTGTCTCCTAATGTCCTGTCAGGGGTCAGCGATGGGTCGTAGGGTGCGTGTCGGCAGGTGTGTCATTCTGACTCCAGAGGACGTCAGCGTCTGTTTGTGGTCAGCTCGAGTCTCATTCATCTTTTTTGTTTTTAAATGTGCAAAGCGCCATGGGTTGGTGTGTGGTGCTAACTGTCGTAGCGCGGCGGCAGAGTTTGACCTTGAGTCTGCGAGAGGTCAACCTTTCTCACAAAGCCACAACTCTGATGATGATGATTTTATTTATTTTACTTACTTATTCCTTTTTTATATTTGAAATATTTACCTTTTTTATTGGACCAAAACAGCTGCTGATATTTATTTTTGATCCAATACAAGGTAACTAAGTGCCTGAAGATTGTATTTGCTCACATACAGATAAAATAGAAAATGACCTTTACTCCCTACAGGACAAATGCATGTCTCCCAGAGTCTGACTCATGTCCTTATGAAATGACTTTTAATGAGAACATGGTGAAATGTTGTTCCCTGGTACTCACGGGACGCTGCATTAAAGAGTGACAGCCATTTGCCGTGTGCACAGCTAATCATCTTTGTTTGGGCGACCAGCTTCACTTTGTTTTCTTTGCACTGAATGTCACCTCTGACATGAGCAAGATGTTTCTTGTGGGCAGTCTGTAGCAGCAAACACAAATGTTGGATCTTTTTTATGTGTGATGGTGTTTATCAGCTTGTGAAGAGTTCATCCGCCCACTGAAGAGAAGGGAACAATCCGATGTGATCACACTGTCGCTGGGATTAAGATGATGGCTTGCTGCTGAAGGCTTTCCACAGAACACATTTAGTTCAATGTTAAAACAATCAGGTGTGATAACAGAAATCATACAAATGCTTTGTTTTTTTATTTCGACATGTATTCAATGAAGATTATGTGAAACTGAATAATTAATAAATTAGAATAATTGAATGGATCAGTTGAGTGTGATGGATGACTTTAGCCTAATTGATAAATGATCACTAAGAGTGCATTCCTTTTTTAATTCTTCGATTGAGCTATAAGTATTTTTGACTCCTTTGCCCTTATTCAATATACTGTCTACGTACTTCATGCAAAATCTCAAAAATCAGAAAAACATTTGCAACATTTCTAGAACAGATGGAGTAGATCAAATCCTTCTCCAAAGAAGACATTTAGGATTTCTTAATTTTTTACGAAATTCTAGAAGCTGAATCCCCATGTTCAACATTTGAATTGTATCTTGAAATATCTTCTGTAGACCAACAATTTAAATTGTTTTTTTCATGTAAAATAATTCAAACAATTGTTTAGTCTTCTTAAAAAAAAAATTAAATAAAACAAATTATACTCAATGTTCAATAAACTGAAATGTTAAACACAGAAAGACGTAAAGCTTACACTTATTGATTGGAGGGTTTGGATTATTTAGCTTTATAACTGACCCAAACAACACACTTATTATAACTTCAGCGCTAAATAGATTGCACCATACACAATTCAGCCACACGATCACAACATCAAGCAATAAACACATCCACCATAGCATATTTCAATCTGTTCTTTAATTGGCAAATTTACGGAAGAGTATTAGTGCCACATGTGATTTTTTTTGGTTCTGACCAAAGTTGAGAAAAAAATGCGTTCTGCGATTTAAGTCAAAAGTCAGAGGTTTTTTTGCCAAAATTCTGACTTCAATCTCACATCCCAAAGATTTATTTCACTTGTAAGATTCAAGATGTGGCATTAATCCTGTTCCGTATTTGTCATGTTTGTTTCAAAGACAAAAGGACACATGAGAGCTGAGATCTGGATCTGAACTGTTTTTAGTGTAAAAGGACCAGAATTTAGCAGTGCTGAAGAATATCACTTCATGCTGACAGTGAGCCCTCTCCTCTGCACATTCAATCACTGCAGCTTCTGATCACTCACTGTGTGGTGTGTGTGTGTGTGTGTGTGTGGGTGTGTGTGTGTGTGTGTGTGTGTGTGTGTGTGTGTGTGTGTGGTGTGTGTGTGTGTGTGTGTGTGTGTGTGTGTGTGTGTGTGGGTGTGTGTGTGTGTGTGTGTGTGTGTGTGTGTGTGTGTGTGTGTGTGTGTGTGTGTGTGTGGTGTGTGTGTGTGTGTGTGTGTGTGTGTGTGTGTGTGTGTGTGTGTGTGTGTGTGTACTGAGACATTGACATTAATTCAATGTATTATGTCAACAGAATTCACATAACTGTATTAGGTTCGAGGAGTAAGTAAAGTTGAACCTAATATGTTTGTACTTAATATTATTGTTGACGATTAACTTAATACAGTTATGTGAAATATATCAGTATTACATATTACATATCATATTACACTTAACATTTAGTTAAAGTAAACGTTTCAGTTTTTTCAGTGTGTGTGTGTTGTGATTGAGTAGGGAGGGACAGGCATTTGCTTTATTTGTTTTAATTGTGAACAAACTGTTTGTGTAACAGAACATCATGCTCTGTGCAGTAACACATCATCAAAGCTCGCTGGAGATGACCTGTGAGATTTTTAGACAATAGTCCCCGTAAGGATTGCACCGACACTGTTGAAATTATCGGGCATTTGTTGTGAACACATAGCTAACACATAGCTACCAAGGCGCTATGGTTATCAGTGAATATGACTTGGTGCAAATGTTGTGATTACTACACCACCAACAGACATGTTTTGTTTTCAATTTGTCCGTATTATTTTCGAGACAAAGTTGAAACAGGGAGACCGATAGAATGACACGCAGCAAATGGTCCCGAGCAGAATTGGAACCCGGGTCCTGGGCGTGGGAACCAGACCCCAGAACACAGGCTCCCGCTCTGTGGCCCCAGAGACATGTTTGTTAATGCTGTATTTATGTTGATATTGAAATATTGTGTATCTTTTAAAGGCAATAACTTCTAAAGATGACCTGCAGTATGGTAACCTACATAGAACAAACACTCTCATCTGTGCTCCTTCCAGGTGAAGGTCTGGTTCCAGAACCGGCGCACTAAGCAGAAGAAGGACCAGGGGAAGGACTTGGAGCTGCGCTCGGTGGTCTCAGAGACCGCGGCCACCTGCAGTGTGCTCAGACTGCTGGAGCAGGGCAGGCGCTGACCCCCCCGGGCCTGACGGCATCCTGCCCCACTGCGGGCTCCGCCCTGCGTCCCCCCTCCATGGCCCTGGCCAGCAACAGCAGCAGCAGTGGGGGCAGCACGGGCACGGCGGGGGGCAGCCCCCCTCTGCCCGCCATCAGCAGCTCAGGGACAGTGGCCGGCCTCTTCTCCTTCCCCATGCCGTCCTTACTCAGCGGCGTGGCCAACCGCATGTCCTCTAACCCCCCTGTCCATGGCCGGCTCGCTGGCGGGTAACCTGCAGGAACTTTCCGCCCGCTACCTGAGCTCCTCTGCTTTTGAGCCTTAACTCGCGGACCAATGGCAAAGAATCCATGGACAAGAAGATTCTGGAATGATGCTTTGTTTTCACACAGACAGATTCCTGTTTCCTCTGGACACATTTTGGGTTTTTTCTAGCTTTCACTGTCTTTGTTTGGTTTTGCTCATTCTCTTCCATCTGTGTCTGTTATGTTCTGTAGCAGTTCATGTATTCCAGTTGCACATCTGGCATCTTACAAGCACAAGCTCATCTAACAAAGACAGGGGGGCGATGGAAAGATTTTGCACAAAATGTTAGGTCTGTGTTACAGAGGTTTAGAATGACTCTGATACTCTGGGGGATCTTTCAGGTAGTTGGCAAACATGTTTAGTCCTATCTATGAATCCCAAAATAAGAATACACACAGGCAGAGAATATGGCTGCTTCCTATACCACAAAAGCTCTATCGTTGAAAAAGAAGTGGTAAATACTGTAGAGCAGGAAGTATAGGATTGGTGACAGAAAGTGTAAAGCAACGATACCTTTCTGATCGTGTTTCAATCATTGAATTTGTTGGGTAGATATGTCACTAAAGTGAGTAGAAAGCGAGTTGTCAAACACAAGCAGCGGTTTGTTGGATCTAATCAGCAAATTAAAAGAAAGTTAATTTAAACTGCAGCATTATGAATAAACTAGCAAGGCCAATTTTTCATCACAGAATTGTGGGATAAAAAAAGACCCTCTTAATAAGGTCACTGCAAGGCCAGCGTAAGCACAGACCCAATGCATCTGACCTGTCAATGTAAAATGCTTACGAAGATACCTCGCAAAAATGAATCTTACAAAAATATCTTTTATATATCCATCTGTATTTGGACCAAACTAAAACGTAATCTATAGAAGGTGTTGTCATGCAGTTAATTGTCATGCAGTTAATTGTCCAGTGTTGTTTTCTCTATGGTTTGGTAAGGATTTTAACATTTTCCAACTAAATTCTTCACTTTGTGGCATTTTCGTCTTCAAGATGCAGTACCTGACTATTTTTGTGTGTGATTTTAATACCAATGTGAGTTTCAGAGTATTGGTGTACAGTTTCAATTCCATGCAGAAGCTCGGCAAGGGAATGAGTGTCTGAAAGGGAGCAGCTTTTCAGCATTAGTAAGCTGCTTGCTTTGTTCAACACTACAAGGTAACAGGATATTCAAACATTAGGACAATTCAATAACCGTTCCTTCCTGTGTGAACATTTCAAAATCCACAGCCTTCAACACTTTGGGCAGGCTGATGCATGTGGAGACGGAATGGAATTATTGTAGTATAAAAGTACTGGAAATGAGAAATGTACCTTCAAATTGTTATTTTATTGTAAATTATTAACTTCTGTATCTAATAGATTATTAGTATATCTGGAAAATAATGGATGAATGAATGTATTAGCGGGGTTGAGGAATCAATCAAAAGCTCTTTGGTGCTGTTGTTGTGAAATATCTTGAAATGTGTGAACCGTGTGGTACAATGTGCATATATATTATGTATGGCTACAGACAAAGACAAGTGTTTTTAATTTTCTTTCATACATGTTGCTGTGAATCAAGTTATGATAAAATTCATGACTGTTATACCTCATACACCAGGGCCTGATGTGTCTGAAGTCTTTTCTCCTATTTTTGGTACCTTTAATTACGATCATAACAACAGGGGAACATTATGTAGACCTTTTGGTTAAATGCCACACTTAAAAACAACAGCTTCACACATTGGATGTTAAAAAAAAAACATTTTAGCAGTTATTCCATTTTGAGGTAGCGAAGGTCTTATTATTTGCATTCACCAATCCTCAAATATCTTTTTTTCCTCAGAAGTTTTTAATATACAAATATCTCAGTTTTTAATATACAAATTTACAAATATCCGCAGACCTTCAAATGGGGTAAGTTGGAATCAGAGAACACTTTAAGATGACCCTGGATGAATCAATGACCAACATCTTTCCTAATCATTCTTTTTGATGATGGACCAATGAATTCATTATTATTTATATCACCTCCAGGTCTGATATTTGCCTGAAATGGCAAAGCGACTTGTGGAGCGTCAATATGTGACACAGTCATGACAGGATTCCCATGGGAACCAGAAATTGTTATTATTGTAAAAAAATTATGTCATCTTTATTTATTTATTTATAAAAAAAAGTGAAATGTGGTTCATATATATTTTTCTGCAAAACTAATGTTAATAGGTCAGTATACTGATCCTTATCCTTCAGCATCAGTTTGCACTGCACACGTTATCATGGAGCAGAGCTGAGCTGAGGGAATGAGAGGGGACACATCGGATGAGGGGGGTGCAGAGGCCGAGGTGTGCAGCAGGACAACTACTGCTCCCCTCTAAAAACACCCCGCCTGAAGGAGAATTTCACAAAACATACTGAATCTTAGGCCCGTCCACACGGAGACGATATCAGTTGAATCCGCTAACGTTCTCTATCGTAAAGACGGTTCGTCCACACCAGGCCGACACGGAAACGCGGATTCGGAGCCCGAATCCGATACATGTTGATGAATACACAAAGTGGGTAGGTCTGGGGACGAAACGCTTGCGGCTCCGTGTGTACGCCCTATAGTCTATACGATCATTCCCTGAAAATGATGACGCCATAGCCTCGCCTCTCCCCACCTCTCCTGCTCACCCCCGCGTCATTGCTGATGCGCTTCGCCAACAACAACAACAATGGCGGATCACAGGGTTGCGTTCGTGCTCCAGACGCTACTGACCATGATACAGATTTTAGTGCAAAATCTACAGCTCCTTTACCACAACCATCAGCAACAATAATAATATAATATAATAATAATCGTCATCGGTCTTATTCACTGCTTTTGGTGTATTTTGTGGCGGAAGTACAGCGCCACTTACAGGCCCGGCATATGTACTACAGCGTCTCCAGCGGGTCGAGCGGTCTCGTGTGGACGGACATGTTTATTGAGCCGATTCCGTGTTAACGGAAGACTTTTTTGATATCGAATTTGGTTCGTTTTGGTCTCCGTTTCGTCTCCGTGTGGACGGAGCCTTAAAGCCACTGGCTTTATTATGAATGTAGAGTAATTGAATCATTTACAGGAATACATTTGGAGCAACAGTCCTACTGGGGGGGTGAGGATGTAGACCAGGATAAACTGGAGTGTGTACCATGGTGTGTATCTGCTGTGAGCAGTGCTGGAAGAACAAGAGTTAAGCATCACTTTACTTTAATTCCACAACATTTTTGTTCAAGTTAATATTATTGCTTTCAACTAGATTCAAGATTTAAAGGTTTTAATGTCATATGCACATAAGTTACAGTGTAGAAATGGCATATGAATTGGTTCTTTTCATATTCAAATCTCATTTGGATTGATTGACAGAGACATGATACTGATAAGAAGAACCCTTTCTAACATTAAAGTGTTTCTTCTTTGGAGAAATAAAGATGACATCATTTATTGTAAATTAAACATGCAAAATCAACGTTTGTGTTCCCATGGGAATCCTGCCATGACTGTGTCACATATTGACCCTCCACAATAGGCTTTGCCATTTTAGGCAAATATCAGACCTGGAGGTGATATAAATAATAATGAATTAATTCGTCCATCATCAAAAATAATGATTAGGAAAGATTTTGGTCATTGATTCATCATTAAGGTCATCCTAAAGTGTTCTCTGATTCCAATGTATCCCATTTGAAGGTCTTTAACCTAATACAATTATGTGAAATGTGTTGAACGTATCAGTTTTTTCAGTGTACTTTTACTTACTGTAAGTACATCAAAGCACTGCTCCCCCTCTGGCTGTTGCTGAGGAAGAGAAAATGCATTTGAATTGTGGCACACAATGTTTTACAAATATTTTTTGCAAATATTCTAAGTTGAATCCTGTTTGTTTTTTCCTTTATTAGTTTAGTTGTGCTTCTTCCGGCAGAGAAATTACTGTAGAAAATCAGGGACCGTCCAGTTGTTCCTTGAAAACTGAAGCTCTTTTGTGAGCAGATCCAAAGAAACCAATCCTCCCCACTGTGTCTTGGGAATCTCCCTGAGGAAAAAAAAGGTCACATTTATGCCACCTCCCCCCTCTACACCCCCAGCAGCCACCCCAACCCATTCTCTCCCTTCACCCCAAGTCCAATTAGAAGGAAGGTCAGGGAGGTTTTGTAAGCGGGGGGTTTCGGGGGGAGTGTGTGTATGTCTGTGTGTGTATGCACGTGCAGGGCCGTCAGAGCAGCAGACCACCAACACATTTGCTTCCATCACATGTTCCGGTCTTTAAGCTCAGGTCTTAGCGGGTTAATGAAAGGCTACATCCTGTCTTGTTTTTAGTATCTGTTTTTTTGGCCTTTTGTTTGTGCGTACAGTGGATTAACACGCTAACAAATCTCAGTGAAGACGCGACCCTCTTTAAACAGACTAATCCAGCAGGTTGAAGCTCTACAGTTACGGATCTACAGGTTGTGAAAAACCTGCATAGTTTAGTCATTGTGCTTCTTCATAAAAAATAATGAATCCCATTAAGTAATGAGGGGGAGTGAGGGGAGCGGAAACCCCTCCAAAGCAAGGGTTCCACTTGTGTTTTCGGTAAAACACCTTGCATAAAGCCATGAAATAACTGTAATTACCATATGTGTTGAAATACTACAATTTGTAATTACATCTGCAGCACCCTTGCAACTGTATTGTATGGGCATGTAGTTAGCGGTTAAGAATACCAAGATATTTTCATGTCGCTTTTACAATTTCAACAATCCACTCAATGGCTATAGTGAACGATACACACATCCTGATATATGAAATAAACAGTAATATATTTATCAGTGGAAGTAAGAAAGTAGAATGAACAAAGTTATTATCAATTAGCCTTTTATATTCTAATTACTTATTTATTGATTGCTTAAAACCCTCCTGTTACATTCAGGGTCAAATTGACCCGTTTGAAAGTTTGAAAATCTACGAAAAATACTTTCAAGTATTTATTTTGTATGAAACTTCTTCTACTTTCCTTCATTAGTGTAATAAACAAGTAAAATGAAAATGGTTCATGTCATGCATTTGGAACCTCCCCCTACATGTCTATATCACAGAGATGGTATTCGGGTCAATTTGACCTGGCAGTGAAAGTGGAGGCTAAAATGGGTCAGACACAGACACACACACACACACACACACACACACACACACACACACACACACACACACACACACACACACACACACACACACACACACACACACACACACACACACACACACACACACACACACACACACACACACACACACACACACGTGAAAGTGGAGGCTAGAAGGGGTCAGAGGGTTCAAATGCGATATACAGTATATATATATATATATATATCGTAATTTTCCACAGACAGACAGACAGACACCCTGCACCTGGCAGTGAAAGTGGAGGCTAGAAGGGGTCAGAGGGTTCAGTAGTGATACATTGTTAATTTTTACTCTCACACAAACACACAAATACACACACAAATACACACAGCACCTGTTAGTGAAAGTGGGGGTCAGAGGGTTCAAGTCTCAAAAGTGTAATGGGTAAGCTCCTCCCACACTGGGATACATTATACTCTGCACTTAACGTACAGTATACTCACAATACTATCAGACAAAATGAGCAACGCAAGTGAAGAGAGGACAGCCCTGGGCTATATGGAATACATCCTTGAGGAGGATCACGACAGCGAGATAGAGGAGAACGTTTCCGAGGATGAAGACTACCTTGAGGTAAACGATGAAGATGAAGATTATGATTATGATCAATCAGATGAGGAAACTGATATTCGCCCAGATGAGACATTCAGGTCCAAAAATTGTGAAATTCAGTGGTCCTCATCCCCTAATGGACGCCAGGCAACACTATCGGCAGCAAACATAATGAAGGCAGTGCCAGGGCCCACCAGGATGGCAGTCTCTCGTGTCACAGACATCAAGTCTGCTTTTGAGCTGGTAATTTCGAACACAGTGCTGAAGATCGTTCTCGATCAACACGTTCTCACTCCCAACCCGTCACATGTTGACGCACGGTCAGGGCCCCTCCCCGTCACTTTATTACGTACAGGGTACCCCTTGCGCGTCAGTTGTCAACGGGCAGGGCGTCCCATAGACCTTCATAGACCTCCCATAGCGTTGATAATAGACGCCATGAGAACGCTCCCCGACGGTCGGTCGTTATTGTCAATATTAATAATAATTTATTTTTTAATAGTCACACTCGATTTCGCCGATTTTCTTGTTGCCCCAGCTGGTCGACACCTCTTTTAGCAGAAACAAGGCTACATTAATGTATTAAATCGATGTTAATCCATGTGTGTGGTTGTGGAATTAATGGACGTGCCGTTGTGCGATTGTGTTGCCAGGCAACGCAATCATTTACAAACTCTTCAACTACAACCCTAATTATGTTTAAAAACATTTTAGAAGGCCTCACGAAATACTTTAAAGGTCCCATGTCATGCTTTTCTGGTTATTACCCGTCCCCTTGCTTGTTATGAAGGTTTTTATGCATGTAAACGGTGTGCAGAGTCAAAACCCTCAAATTAC